AGTCCCCAGATCTATTTTTAGGCATCTGGAATATCTACCAGGAAAATCTGCCTCCAAAATATTTGGGGAAATGGCAGACAATGGACTTTACAGGAGCCTAATATTCTGTTATCTGCTTCCTACTCTGGAATGGATGAAAAACACTTCATTTAATTAAGCCTGATGAATTTCTGTTACCAGTGATAAACTTGCAGTGTGTTAATTTGGTGAACTCAGGAGAAGGATCTTGGTTCTTCTTTGTGTCAACACCATTTGGAAAGCAGATAACTGCTCCCTGAATTAAGATGAGAATGAAGAAGAGACTCTCAGACTCCGCGTGACTTGGGGAGCTGGGACCTGATCTCCAGGGATCCCTGTGCTAACTTGGTCCTTCCACACACTGTGGCAAAGGGTCACGGGAACCACAGCTGCCAGAGGACTTGGGATCCTGAGCCCCAGACCTGCAGGGAGGAAGGTGTGATCCTCCCCCAGGGGACACTGGGGTTCTGGTGGGAGGAGAAGACAGAGAAGGGGATGGGTGGGGGAGGAGTCAGACACCATGACAGTGTGTAAATATAAAGAGACTGTAATGGTTTTAACAATTTCTCTTGTGTGTGTTAATTTGTATTTATTACCCATTGTCTTTATTTGTCATCTTCCCTTGTGCTTATACAAGTTGCTGCAGTCTATGTGTATAATCGAGTGTTGGGTAGCAGAATAGATAAAGGTAATGTGAGCCATTTTGAGAAATACTTACTATGGCATGTTAGATGCAAAAATTGGGGCTGTCTGTGCCCTCATGTTGGGGAAAGGTGAGCACTTCTTCACTTGTAAAGGCAGCTTTCCCTTGATATTTAAAGATAAGCCATGTATACACTGTGAGTGTGGGGCTGAGGAGTCAAATGCGTGGACTCTCCCATCACTCATTTACTGCCATGGCTGAGAGAACAGTCAGGTCAGGCCTCATGCTGAGGCCACAGATGGTGAAATTGACTGACTTGAACCCGTTTGGGATAGGAAGAGTGTTACCATGGGAGATCATTTTTCTTTTCATAAAGAAAATATTTCAGGGCCTCCCCAGTGGCGCAGCGGTTGAGCGCTGGGTTGCGAAGCTGCCCGCAGCCTCTGAAGCGCCAGTTCTTCCCGGCTGCTCCCCGGCCACCAGAGGAGGGTCCCACATGGCGCGCAGACCTCTCCTGCGGCCCGCTGCTCCCCTCAGCAGTGTACTTCGGTCCTTCTGCCTGCTCTGCTCCCCGCTCTGGCTCTGGTGAATTCTCTCACCCTCCCGCACTTCTGACTGTACCCAGTGCTTGTATAAATTTAAAAATAAATAAATAAAACACAAATGTTTAAAAAAAAAAGAAACAGAAAATATTTCAAGGGGTTTTCATGCTGTTTTGACAAGGAGGGGTATGAGCTATGAATTTGTGTCCTAAATTAACTGGAGTTTATCCAACTTGAGCTTGTGCTGAGGAATCCAGATCTGAGGAATACCTTATGTTTATGATGTATTTTTTGGGTAACAGATGAACAGTTGGATTGTGACTGAACTTGAGAAATAAGTAATATAGATACAAAGATTGGCGCTGTCTGTTTTGGAGACGTGTAAAGGGAGCTTCTCTTGGTACTTAAAAACATACACTTGTGTTGTGTGGTTGTTCATATGTGTGTGAATTGTGTGTGTGGAGCTGAGTAGTCACAGGTGTGGACTCTCCCATCACCCATGTGTCGCTTCCTGGCCCACATCCCCCACGTGCCCTCCTGTGTGACCTGGAGCTGGACCCCAGGAGTGTGTCCCTTGGCCCCCTGCACAGAGTCAGGATGAGCCCTGGAGGGGACACTCCAGTCACAGCGAGGACACGCGTCTATCCTGGTTGTGCTGCTTTTCTTCTGGATCCTGCGATGGGATGTTTGTCTTTTTTAAGATTTACCCTCAGCTCTATCCATGAAATTTTTCCTTCTATTGTTCCACAAAACTATTAAAAACTGATAAGTAAGCTGTGTGTCATGTCTTTTGATCTAATGGGGCATTACAGAGATTTTGTAATTAGATTCAAACTTATGGAACTATTTAGAAAATGTGTAAGGTTTGACTTGGGTTTTTATCATTAATTAAGGATGTGTTTGCTGTGAAATCACATGCTGTCTGTAACACAAAAAGGAGAATTCCAAAGACTAATTTTTTTATCCATAGATAGTACAAGTTTTGTTCCTTCTTAGTACATTTTATTTTAAGTTGCTTTCATGCTGGACAACAAAGGATCTATTCTTCAAAATCCTCTTTGTAGCCTGTTGCAATAATACCAGTGCTGTCACTGATTAATTAATAAAATTAACTGTTTATATATTTGCTGAGAGTCATGTTTATGATTTCATAAACTTTACACAAGATGACTTATTTCAAGACAGATTTTTATCCAGGAAACTTTGCATTGATTATCTTAGAAAACTTTTATGCTAGTCATTTTAAAGCAAATGCATTAAAAATCCCCTGCTTTTAACATAAAAATGAGAAACTGAAATCCCAGCTATCACACAGCTCAGCACCTCCCCCCGCAGAGCTGAGGAGCAGCCTGAGGAGAGGAGGAGACACCAGGCCCCAGACAGGATGGGGCAGACCCTGGGTCTAGACTGAAGCTGCTCATCTGACACTCATGGTCCTTCTCACCTCAGGAGCTTGTCCACCCCCAGCTGAGCCCCAGAGCCCATGTACCCAGAGTCCTGGGCAGGGCTTGTCCCCTTGTCTTCTGTGAGCTGTTCTCCATCCCTCCTCTCCTCTCTCTCTCTCTCTCTCTCTCTCTCTTGGCTCAGGGAGAGTCATCTGAGGAGGTGAGATCTTCATCCAGAGGGAGGGGAGCCCCCAAGTGGGCAGGTTAGGGGAGACTTGGGAGAGTGAGAGTGTCCTTAGGATCCTCCTCCCAATATGGCTTCTGATTCCTCTCATGTGGACCCCAACCCTCTCCCAGCTCTGCAGGGACCATGTCATCACTGTGATCTCAGGCAGAGCAGACATGGCTCCCTCAGCCCTGGGCCATTCCTGCCTCCTCTCTCACTTCCACTGGGCCCATCTCTCATCCTTCTATGTCTGTCATTTCCTTCCTTCATATTCCACCTCTTATAGCCACTTGGCCTTTCCCATGTACTTGTCATAATTCTGTGTTGATCGGGAAGATGATCCATGTTCCACCGAATCATCCTCTCAGGTGTCCCAGAGACATGAACCCCAAATTTGGGAATAACTGGAATCTGACCTCTAACCAGCTGCCCTGGGAAGCCAGAGGTCACCCTGCTCCAGGGCAGGAGAGTCCCCTGCTGAGAGCAGCCCCAGGCAGGAGGCCTCACCCTGAAGGGGGAGGGGAAGGGAAGGCCCAAGCCCAGGGGGCAGGTCCCCTTGTGGAGGGACAGTCTGTCTCAGTATTGGGGTCTCTCCTCTGCCCTCCTGCTCTTTAGTCAAGGGAGGGGTCTTCTTAGAAGATCTGGGGATAGAGAGGGATGGTGAGGGGGGATCAGGGGACCACTTGGACCTGTGGGTGTGAATAGAAGATTCTAGTTCCACTTGGGTATCCTGTGTGACCCCTGATGCAGGGAGCAGCTGGTGGAGGAACCCAGAGAACTGACTGGCAGGAAAAAGATTTGCGGGGAGCTGGTCAGGGCAAAGAGAGGCTGCTTCTCTCCCACAGAAACCCATTTCTTGGGGGACAGTGAGGGAGGATCATGCCTGAGAGCAGTGCAGGGGGGCAGGTGGACCAGGTGAGGGGAGTGGGCAGGGCAGAGCTGAGTCCCCCTGGGCAGGCAGGGGGGTAGGAAACAGAACAGAGGGACACTGCCCTGTGAGCCAGGGCCCTGGGCAGAGCCTGAGAGCTCATTGGCAGGAGAATGGGGAACAGGAGTGTCTGGTGTGATCTGAGGCTTTTTCCCAGCCCCAGCTCTGCCGGGACCAATGTCATCACTGTGACCTCAGGCAGAACTCAGCAAGGGTCTGCTCAGCCAGGGAGCTGCCACTGGTTTTCAGAGTAATGTGGACACAGAGTTCAGAGCCTCATGCTCTGAAAACCTTGTTCCCTTTTACATTTCTTACAAGTTGTTTAAAACCCTCTGCATCTTTGTGTGTGTGTGTGTGTGTGTGTGTGTGTGTAGAAAATGGCTGTAGGCCAGAGGTGAGTGGGGAGAGGATTCACCAGAGAGTGGTGAACCCCTCTAACTCTTGATTATGAATGGAAGGGACAGTGGAGGCCACTCCTGTGGTCTCAGGGGAGGTGGTGGCAGAAGTAGGTGAGGGTGTCCCTGGGATGAGTGTAGAGAACCCACACCTCAGGTCTGTTTTCACTTCTGGGAGCCCCCGGCCTCCCAGCCAAGGAGTCTCCCTGTTGCTGGAGACCCTGTCAGCTGGAGGGCTGGGGAGAGCTGGGTCTGCAGGCCCCACAGTGGCTGGGCTGTGACTTGGGCCTGGAGAAGTCAGGGCTCTGCTGTGTCCTGCTCCAGAGCTGCCCTGGGGACTGTCCACGTCCCTGCTCCACGGGCACCTGGATCCCAGCACTTGGCTTGAACCCTTCTCACTGGTGTCATATCTGGGAGGAAGGAGAGGGTGGGGTGTCTCCCCAGAGTCCCACCTTGACAGGCTCCCCCTTTCCTGTCCCTTCCTCTCTCAGCAGGTGGTGAAGCTCCTGCTCCTCAGCACCCCTGTGCCCCCTCAGCTGCCCCCCCAGACACAGGCCCTCCTCACAAGGCTGCAGGGGAGCAGCTCAGAGGAACCTGCATCCCCCTGACCCCCATCTCCCCTTCTTCTCTTCTCCCTCCGCTTCTGTCCAACCAAACATTATCCAGGAGGCTGCTCCCGGCAGAGGTGCTGAGACGCTCCCTCAGCTCCAGCCCTGAGTCTCCAGGGAAGCCGCATCCCCTGGTTTCCACAGCACAGTCTCATCCCCATGTCTCTGCTCTGAGTGCTGGGAGCCCTCCCCCTCCTCTCCCCTCCCTCCCACCTGCCTTTTGCTTTCTTTTCTTACACATCTTTCCCTCAACAGGAAAGGAGGAACCTGTCAGGGAGGGCGTCTGGGGAGACACCCCACCCTCTCCTTCCTCCCAGATGTGACACCAGTGAGAAGGGGACAAGCCCAGTGTGGGGATCCAGATGCCCATGGAGGAAGGAAGTGGATGGTCCCGAGGGCAGCTCTGGAGCAGGACACAGCAGAGCCCTGACTTCTCCAGGCCCAAGTCACAGCCCAGCCACTGTGGGGCCTGCAGACCCAGCTCTCCCCAGCCCTCCAGCTGACAGGATCTCCAGCGACAGGGGGAATCCTTGGCTGGGAGGGTGGGGGCTCCCAGAAGTGAAAACAGACCTGAGGAGTGGGCTCTCTACACTCACCCCAGGGAGACCCCCACCCACTTCTGCCACCACCTCCCCTGAGACCACAGGAGTGGCCTCCACTGTCCCTTCCATTCACAATCAAGAGGTAGAGGGGTTTACCACTCTGTCTCTAGTGAATCCTCTTCCCACACACCTCTGGCCTACAACCATTTTCTACACACACACACACATACAAAAGTTGCAGAGGGTTTTAAGAAATGTAAAAGGGAACAAGGTTTTCAGAGCATGAGGCTCTGAACTCTGTGTCCACATTACTCTGAAAACCAGTGGCAGCTCCCTGGCTGAGCAGACCCTTGCTGAGCTCTGCCTGAGGTCACAGTGATGACATTGGTCCCCGCAGAGCTGGGGCTGGGAAAAAGCCTCAGATCACACCAGAAACTCCTGTTCCCCATTCTCCTGCCAATGAGCTCTCAGGCTCCTCCCAGAGCCCTGGCTCATAGGGCAGTATCCCTCTGTCCTGCTGCACTTCCCATCCACCCCCTGCCTGCCCAGGGAGACTCAGCTCTGCCCTGTCCTCTCCCCTCACCTGGTCCACCTGACCCCCTGCACTGCTCTCAGGCTTGCTCCTCCCTCACTGTTCCCCAAGAGACCAGCTTCTGTGGGAGAGAAGCAGCCTCTCTTTGCCCTGACCAGCTCCACACAAGTCTTTTTCCTGGCAGTCAGTTCTCTGGGTTCCTCCACCAGCTGCTCCCTGCATCAGGGGTCACAAAGGAGACCCAAGTGGCACTAGAATCTTCTATTCACACCCACAGGTCCAAGTAGTCCCCTGATCCCCCTTCACCATCCCCCTCTATTCCCAGATCTTCTGAGACAACCCCTCCCTTGACTAAAGAGCAGGAGGGCAGAGGAGAGACCCCAATACTGAGACAGACTGTCCCTCCACAAGGGGACCTGCCCCCTGGGCTTAGGCCTTCCCTTCCCCTACCCCTTCAGGGTAAGGCCTCCTGCCTGGGGCTGCTCTCAGCAGGGGACACTCCTGCCCTGGAGCAGGGTGACCTCTGGCCCCAGGGCAGCTGGTCAAAGAGCAGATTCCAGTTATTCCCAAATTAGGGGTTCATGTCTCTGGGACACCTGAGAGGATGATTTGGTGGAACATGGATCATCTTCCCGATCAACACAGAATTATGACAAGTACATGGGAAAGGCCAAGTGGCTATAAGAGGTGGAATATGAAGGAAGGAAAGGACAGAAGGATAGAAGGATGAGAGCTGGGCCCAGTGGGATTGAGAGATGAGGCAGGAATGGCCCAGGGCTGAGGGAGCCATGTCTGCTCTGCCTGAGGTCACAGTGATGACATGGTCCCCACAGAGCTGAGAGAGAATTGGGGTCCACATGAGAGGAATCAGAAGCCATATTGGGAGGAGGATCCTGAGGACACTCTCACTCTCCCAAGTCCCCACTGACCTGCCCACTTGGGGGTTCCCATCCCTTTGGATGAAGATCTCACCTCCTCAGATGACTCTCCCCGAGCCCAAAGAGAGAGAGAGAGAGAGAGAGAGAGAGAGAGAGGAGGGATGGGGAACAGCTCACAGAAGACAAGGGGACAAGCCCCACCCAGGACTCTGGGTACATGGGCTCTGGGGCTCAGCTGGGGGTGGACAAGCTCCTGAGGTGAGAAGGACCATGAGTGTCAGATAAGTAGCTTCAGTCTAGACCCAGGGTCTGCCCCATCCTGTCTGGGGCCTGGTGTCTCCTCCTCTCCTCAGGTTGCTCCTCAGCTCTGCAGGGGAAGGTGCTGAGCTATGTGATAGCTGGGATTTCAGTTTCTCATTTTTATGTTGAAAGCAGGGGGTTTTAATGCATTTACTTTAAAATGACTACAATAAAAGTTTTCTACTATAATCAATACAAAGTTTCCCGTATAAAAATCTGTCTTGAAATAAGTAATCTTGTGTAAAGTTTATGAAATCATAAACATGACTCTCAGCAAATATATAAACAGTTAATATTATTAATTAATCAATGACAGCACTGGTATTATTGCAACAGGCTACAAAGAGGATTTTGAAGAATAGATCCTTTGTTGTCCAGCATGAAAGCAACTTAAAATAAAATATACTAAGAAAGAACAAAACTTGTACTATCTATGGATAAAAAAATTAGTCTTTGGAATTCTCCTTTTTGCGTTATAGACAGCATGTGACTTCACAGCAAACACATCCTTAATTAATGATAAAAACCCAAGTCAAACCTTGTACATTTTCTAAATAGTTCCATAAGTTTGGATCTAATTACAAAATCTCTGTAATGCCCCATTGGATCAAAAGACATGACACATACCTTATTTATCAATTTTTAATAGTTTTGTGGAACGATAGAAGGAAAAATTTCATGGATAGTAGCTGAGGGTAAATCTTAAAAAAGACAAACATCCCATCGCAGGATCCAGAAGAAAAGCAGCACGACCAGGAGAGATGCGTGTCCTCGGCTGTGACTGGAGTGTCCCCTCCAGGGCTCATCCTGACTCTGTGCAGGGGGCCAAGGGACACGCTCCTGGGGTCCAGCTCCAGGTCACACAGGAGGGCACGTGGGGGATGTGGGCCAGGAAGGGACACATGGGTGATGGGAGAGTCCACACCTGTGACAACTCAGCTCCACACATACAATTCACACACATATGAACAACCACACAACACAAGTGTATGTTTTTAAGTACCAAGAGAAGCTCCCTTTACACATCTCCAAAACAGACAGCGCCAATCTTTGTATCTATATTACTTATTTCTCAAGTTCAGTCACAATCCAACTGTTCATCTGTTACCCAAAAAATACATCATAAACATAAGGTATTCCTCAGATCTGGATTCCTCAGCACAAGCTCAAGTTGGATAAACTCCAGTTAATTTAGGACACAAATTCATAGCTCATTCCCTTCCTTGTCAAAACAGTGTGAAAACCCCTTGAAATATTTTCTTTATGAAAAGAAAAATGATCTCCCATGGTGACATTCTTCCTCCCCCAAACAGGTTCAAGTCAGTCAATTTCACCATCTGTGGCCTCAGCATGAGGCCTGACCTGACTGTTCTCACAGCCAGGGCAGTAAAGGGGTGATGGGCGAGCGAGTCAACGCATTCGACTCCTCAGCCCCACACTCACAGTGTATACATGGCTTATCTTTAAATATCTTTAAAGCTGCCTTTACAAGTGAAGAAGTGCTCACCTTTCCCTAACATGAGGGGACAGACAGCCCCAATTTTTGCATCTAACATGCCATAGTAAGTATTTCTCAAAATGGCTCACAATACCTTCATCTATTCTGTTACCCAACATTATATTATATACATAAAGTACAGCAACTTGTATAAAAGCACAAGGGAAAATGAAAAATGGGTAATAAATAAATAATGGGTAATAAATACAAATTAACACACACAAGAGAAATTGTTAAAACCATTACAGTCTCTTTATATTTACATACCATCATGATGTCTGACTCCTCCCCCACCCACCCCCTTCTCTGTCTTCTCCTCCCACCAGAACCACGTCAGTGTCCCCTGGGGGAGGATCACACCTTCCTCCCTGCAGGTCTGGGGCTCAGGATCCTGCTTCTTCTGGCAGCTGTGGTTCCCCTGACCCTTTACCACAGGGTGTGGAAGGACCAAATTAGCACAGGGATCCCTGGAAATCAGGTCCCAGCTCCCCAAGTCACTCGGAGTGTGAGAGTCTCTTCTTCATTCTCATCTTAATTCAGGGAGCAGTTATCTGCTATCCAAATGCTGTTGACACAGAAGAAGAACCAAGATCCTTCTCCTGAGTTCACCAAATTAACACACCACAAGTTTATCACTGGTAACAGAAATTCATCAGGCTTGATAAAATTAAGCATGTTTCATCCATTTCATAATAGGAAGCAGATAACAGATATTAGGCTCCTCTAAAAGCCTATTGTCTGCCATTTCCCCAAATATTTTGGAGGCAGATTTTCCTGGTAGATAGTCCAGAAAAATAGATCTGGGGACCCTCCATCAGGTTCTAGTTTCCGCCACACAAAGTCACATTGGATAAAGTAAACTCCAATTAATTTAGTGAACTCCATTCAGAGCTCATGCCTTTTCTTGTCCTAACAGCTAAAATCCCTATTAAATATATTCTTTACCAAATGATAAATTATTTCCCATGAAAAAATTCACGCTGCCCTAAACGGGTTCAAAGTTGTGACTCAGCACAAGGCCTGGCCTGACCTGACTGTTCTCTCAGCCACGGCCCAGGAATCTGCACCCAGAGCAGGAGGACAAGACTCCAGCATCCAGGACTCATGCACAGGTTTGTCCACAGGGAACCTGCAGCCCCAAGAAGAGCCCAGGGCAGGGCTGGGCAGGGAGGGGCCTCATGGGGACACGGTCTCAGGGGTGTAGGGGAGGAGGGGGGCTTCAGGCCCTGGGGGAGCCCCACCCACACCAGAGCCTGAGGGGATCCCCTCCACTGGGGGACTCACAGGCTCCTCCAGAGAAGGAGGATTGTTCATGGGCACAGAGGGCTTCCGGGGTCCAGTCTCCAGGGGGCAGAGGGTCATGAACACGTCTCCTAAATAACAGATGAAGTATGGAAGGAGAGTCCCAGAGAAGGACTCAGGAGGGAAGGAGAAGATGTGGGAGCCATCAGTCATGTCATAGAAGGAGACGTCCCCGTGAGCATAGTCCAGGAAAACCCCCACCCTGTGGGGAACCTGCCTAAGGGGTAGTGGAATATCAGGGTCAGTAAAGGCTTTGAAAACATTTCTGTGCCGGCCAAAAACCCATTTCCCTTTCAGTGGGGACACAGCACCGTATCTATTTTCCTCATCTTTCCTCCA